CCTCAGGAGACAGTGAATTTTCCTACAGTACAGGTCATTTAGCAGAGACTAGACAACCAGTTCAGAGAGAATGTTGACAGGATTACGGTTTCAGGCACGGCAGCATGGTGGAAAGAGTGTTGAATTTAGAATCAGAGGTTCTGGCTTCAAATCCTAGCTATGTCATTTGCTGCATGTCCTGACAATTCATTTAGCACCTCTGGGGACTAAATATAGTCAACTGTAAAATGATGGGACTGGACAAGCCATTCTCTGAAATACTTTCCAATTCTGAGTTTTTATGGGTTTGGGTTGTCAGGTGAGGTACATAAGGGTGTAAGTATATGTGTTGTATTGATTGTAACTATGTGAGAAAATTGGAGCTTTTGTGTCAGAGGGCATTTCTGGATACTGACATATCTCATGAAAGGGTGGAAAGGGAGGGGGGAGAGAAGGTATTGGATGAATGCGGCTCTTTCAAAGGAGTCATAAACTTGGTGTGGGAGATTCTCCTGTCTCAATGTATTTTTTTGTTGTATGTTACTCCATTTGGTTTTTCAGCATGAAAGTTTTAGAATCCAGGTCTCTTGAATATCAGTCCAATGTATTTTCCACTAAACTATACTGCCTTTCATGCATATTTTCCTTCTCCTGTCTCATTTGTGTCCATAGGGCTCATATTCAAGCCAGTGGGATACATTTCCTTATGTGTTGGGTATCCAATCCAACTAATCACTAAAGTAATTCAATTTTAGTATTTCTTGAGTCCAAGAAACTACGGGTCCAATCCTATGTGATACCTATAACACAGAAGGCAGATAGATCTGCTTTAAAAACATCAAAATAGTACAGATGAGCCAAACACGTGTAGCATTTTGTCACATTTACATGTGGATGTCTTGTGACAGCTGCAGCAGATCAGCACAAGTGTCGTCTTTCATAAATCTATAGGATGACAGCATGTCACTGTAGTAATTATCCAGTGAGGGAAGAAGTCCAATATCTAAATTGCCCTTCAGGTGGTGTTCTCTCTGAGCCACTAGCCTAGTAGCCACCTTGGTTTTTGCTATGGTGCATATGTGCATATCCTTTTTAAAGGCTGAAGCATTCCCACCAGAGGATAATCATTCTGCAGAAAACTAGATCATCACCCCACACCCTCCCACTGTCAAGCCCATTCAAGTGAAGGGATGAACAGTTCAGATACTCACTATGTGGGACCAGAGTTATTTAAGGGATAATATTACTCAAAGTATGACAATATGAAATCCATAGTTCTAGAGCTTCCATCTCATATCTAGGTTCTCCTCTCTCTGTTCACTAACCCCTATATTCATAGGACTCAGACACTGAATATACTGTGATCAATAAGAGAAAATGGAAAGAAAACATTAAGCGCTCCTTTATAGAGCTATGTATCTTCAGGTATCTGTTAAAACTTCCTTACTTACCCTCCTAGTACTTCAAGTGTGGCTGGAAATTCTTGAAACTCATGCACCTTTAGATCATGGAAAAGGCAAGAAATGTGCATCCTAGACCCCAGCTCTGGCTCACAGACTATACCAGAGGTAATTAAAGGAGAGGAAATCAGTTTTTCCCATCTAGCTCATCAGTCTAGCAGGAACACTACCTGCCAGACTTGGGACTTGAAATTGATCTGTATTGTTTTTGCACCACTGGTCTCCAGAAGTCTTGGTTGGCCACTTGAGTCCCTAGCCATAGCCAACACTAGCTGGGAGCCTAGCCATCCCCATCACTTTATGGTAGTTACACAATCTTAGTCAGATGGCAAGGACAATCATTAGAACTTCTCTGTCATCCTCTTTGTCTCTGAATCATCATCATCACCTTGGGCCCAGAGTGACATAATAATAACTCAAATAGATTTTATTTCAAATGAGCAGAACTGCAATTCCTATAGTCAAAAAGCCAAGTCAATCTTCACTAAGTGTCTTCTATGTGCCAGGCACTCTGAGAAGGGAGAGTTCATGCTGATCCAGAGTGGGAAGGGAAGGGTTCTTGGAAAAGCAAAGATCTGATGGACTTTAAAGGATGGATACAATTTAGCTGGGCAGAGAGGAATGGAGGTGTGGCTTTACAGGAATGAGCTTGGCATGACAATGAGAAATAGACAATAGGATGACTTCTTTCTTCTTCAGTCATTTACAGTCATGTCTGATTCTGTGACCCTATTTGGGGTTTTCTTGGCAAAGACACTGGAATGGTTTGCTATTTCCTTCTCCAGCTCATTTTACAGATGAGGAAACTGAGGCAAACAGGATTAAGTGACTTGTCCAGGGTCCCACAGCTAGTAAGTATCTGAGTCTGGATTTGAACTCAGGAAGATGTCTTCCTGACTCTAGGCTAGGCACTCTATTTACTCAAGAGAGACAATATAAGTCTGGAAAGAGAGATACAGCCCAGATTATAAAGGATTTTGAATGCTAAACCAAGGAGTTTAAACTTTAACCTATAGACGGAGTTATAAGTTTTTAAGTAGTAGAATGATTTGGTCAGATCTATTCCTTAGGAAGATTTCCCTAGCAATGCATGCATGATGGGAATAGAATGCAGGCAGAGAGACCAGTAGGGAGGTTCTACTTGCAGTCCAAGACAGAGGTTTTGAGGACCTGGACTCATGCAATGTTCTGAATTAGAAAATCATTGGGGAGGTAAGATTGAAATTATTTAGTACCAATTGGACATAGGGAATAAAGGAGAAGGAAGAATAAGGAATGATAGGGACGTTAATGATAATATCAGCTACCGATGAAAGGAACTTAAGGCAAGGGATCAGGTTCTAAAGAAGAGTTGACCTAATGGTGATCCTTGACATGAATGTTCTATTCTAGAACCCCTCCTTGGTCGTTCAGGCTCTGACTTTATTTACACTTCTTCAAGTGTAAGAGAACCTCTCAGCACACAGGTACCCAAACTCTCCTCTCCTTTACCCTCTGCAAAATCCACCATCTTATCTCAATGTAAAAAGGGTGAAAATGGAGGTTGTGCTGTGGGCCTCTCCCCATCCCCTACCACCTGCCCCCGGTTTCTTCCCTCTGGGATTACCTCCCACTTAAACATTTGTCTATAGCTTGTATGTTTGAAGTCATTTCTCTGTTACAGTGTGAACTCCTGGAGATCAGAGACCCATTTTTTTTCTTTTCTTTGTATCCATAGTGCTTAGCACAGTGCTTGGAACGTGGTAAATGCTTAATAAAAGTTTATTGATGATGATGATAACAACGGTAGTTGTGGAAAAGGAGGGGGAAGTGTCATGCCCACTGAGTGAGCCCTCCCTAGGGATTTTTGCTAGTAGGACAAGGACCACAAAGGAGCAAGGGACAAGCAGTAAATTGGGGGTGGGCAGAATGGATAACTCAGGGGAAGAATTCACCCTATGCCACCATTTGGTTAGCTTCTTTATTTAAAACTGATTTTTATCACGGGGATAGTGACTGGATTTATGGTTTCATTGGCACTGAAAATTTCCAAGAGAGGAAATTCCTTCTCTCAAAGCAAGTTGGCACTTTTTCTACAACTTTTAGTCTCAGAGAGTTGCCTAGGGCACTGAAAGGAAAGGGACTACACAGGGTCACACAGCCAGTATTTGTCAGAGGTTAGACTCCAACCTGGGTCTTCCCGGCTTAGAGGCCAGCTCTCTACCCACTGCACCACACTGCCTCTATTTTTGTTAACCAATCGTTAAACTGTCAATTCTAGCTACTGAAGTATGTAAAACTGTCTTCTAAACACAGCATTCTCTAAATTTGGAATTTGGAGCAAAACCCCAGTTACCCATCCCTCCTGTTGCTCTGGGTGTCTTTACATAGCTGGACCCATCCAAATTTGTGTATGTGCCAGAATGTCTTTCCATTTGAGTCAAGGTGTGAGGGTGTGTCTGTCTAGTTGTTCCTCTGTTGGTTTTTATCTATCATTTCAAAAATAAAAACTGTGTTCATGGAGTCACGTCTATATCATCTTTCAATGTGTTGCTGGGATGTCTTTAGCAGAGATGGGGGCTTTGTGAATTAAAACTTATTGGGCAACCAATGCAGCAAATAGAGATCTATGGAGGGGGGATGGTGGTGGGGTAGAGGTTGTTGGGGGTGGGGGGAGGGCAGTATGAATCTGCTGGTGTCTAGGCTCCAGGATGCACCAGGGACTCTGCAGTCTAGAACTGGCTCCTCTGTGTCTGGTATCACAATGAAAATATTCACATTATTTTTATTTTCCAAAGTTTGCACACACACACACACACACACACACACAGATAGAAACACAAGGGCATGTATACACACACAGTGGTAGAGAAACACACAGATACACTGGCAAAACAAACAAAACCCAAACCATGAACTGATATAAAAAAAAAAGACACATCAACTACCCTCCCTGCTACCCTACCCTTCGTTTTCCCTATCTGCCCCTTTCAAATCCTTTTTAATCACCCTTCTTTTCTGTGTCTTTGTCTCTGTCTGGGCTCCTGTGTCTGTTTCTGTCTCTGTGTCTCTGCATCTCTGTCTCTCTTTGTCTCTGTGTCTAGCTCTTTGCTTCTGTCTCTCTGTGCGTGCCTGTTCTGACCTTCCCTTCTCTCCATCACAACGAATCTTTCCTACCACCCCTTCTCTTCCCTCTATTTCATCCCTCTCTACCCTCCCCTCCCTTCCCTTTTTTCTTCCCTTCCCCCGGACTACATCCCCCAGGCGCCCCCAGACCCTGAGTTGCGCATGCCTCCTGCTCCCCCCCACCCCGTTCTTCCCCCTCCCTCCCCTCCACCTTCCCCCCTCCCCCGCGCCTCCTCTCCCGCATCCCTCCATCCCTCTGCCGCAGCCGCATCGCCACCGCAGCCCTGGTACAGCCGAGCCCGGCCCAGGCCCCTGATCCTACCCCTGTTCCGGCCAGGCTCGGTCCCCTGCCCCCTCCCCTGGGGAACCCAGGTGGCTCAGGTACCCCTCTAGTCTCCAGGTTCCGGGGAACCCCTGCGCCCCCGGCCCGTGCCCCCTCACAGCTGAGGCAGGGGGAAGAGACGAGGAAGAGGAGGAGGAGCCGCCGCAAGATGAAGGATCGGACCCAGGAGCTGCGGAGTGTGAGCTGGGGGGGGAGGGAGGAAGTGGGGTGAGAGAGAATCAGGGGGCAACAAGCACCCCGTTATTTGGGGAGGGGGCATGGAGAAGGCATTGCGATGAGGGGCGGAGAATTCTACGAGAGGTGGCTTAATGGGATGGATATACAGGTTATCTCAGGGGGATTCCAGTATTTCCAGAGTGTACCCCCATATTCTGAGGGGATTGGGAAAGCCTGGGAAGGATTAGGAGACTAAGATAAGAAGAGGAATTTGGGGAGGTAGACTGGGGCCTCTGATACTCTGTATTTCCAAGAGAGTCCCTAATATATGGCAGGGGATGGGACATGTTTAGGAGAGAATAGGGAAGAAGGGCCCCCTGGAGATGGGAGATGAAGGGGTCTGGGGCCCAAAGACTGTCATATGATGACATTTGGGAGAATGAGAGAGACTGTAAGGACTAGAATCGACTTTATTGGTAGCTGTGTAACAAACTGATGTGCCCCAGTGTCTTCAGTGGGAATCTTAATATTGGGGGGAATGAAGAACACTGAACAGCTCAAGAGGAAACCTTGGGTAGCTGAGGAAGAAGAATGTGGGGGAAGGGGCTTGTGTCAGTATGTCCCCCCACCTTTTTTCTGAATGGGAGTTCCTGAGATTTTAAGAACCTGAGAGAGCTTGGAAAGGCCTAGAGGGAGGAGATATAGATAGGCAGCAACTGTAATTGTTAAGACACCCCAATATTGGATTGGGCTTGGGACCAGATATGAGATGTGGGAGAAAGGGGAGTTGGCGGAGAATGGCTCAGGGGAACAAGGCACCGTGATAGTTTGTGTGGGATGGGAAAGCGCCTTGGACTGACAAGAAGGTACTGGGTATGCTGATTGGGGAACGTGATGGGAAGTGGTTTGGGGCAGCAAAAGTCCCCTATGTCTGGGGGAAGGTGAGATGCATGAAGATGATAGAGATAGGAAACTCTGGACCCTAAGGGGCAGTAGGAGACTTGGGGGAAGGATAAGTTTGAGGGGTTGAGGGTCACACGTTTTGTAGAGGAGATGTTGCTATTTTGGAAGGAGAATTGAAAAGCCCAGGTGAGTATGGGATGTGGAATTTGAAGAGGAGGGAGGGGTCCATGGGCCCATGAGGAAGGATTCCAGTGATTAGGAACATTGAGATGAGGACTGAGAGAAACATGGAGACTTGGAAGCATTTGGATAGAAATGAAGGTATTTGGTTTGAAGGGGTGGATGATAATTCAAGGCCTTGTATAAAATTAGGATGCTCCCAGAGAAGGGGGAGAAAAGGGATTGATGGCTGAGGGTAGTGAGAAGGGGCATTGATACTTAGTCCTTGAGATTTTAGAGACAAGAGAAAAGGAATGTTAAAGAAAGTGGTTTAGGAAACTGAGTCGCCTAGTGGAGAGGGAACTGGGACACTTTAGACAGAAGGAAGGAGCTGAGGGTTGGGAGATGTCATTTTGAAGGATAGGGCTCCCCAGATTTTAGGAAGAAGGGATATCAGGGAAAGGGAGACAGGTTATATGGCTTGGGATAAACTGAATTTGTGGGATTGTGGTATAAAAGGAAAGAATGAGAATCTAGAGGGTCCTTGAATATTTTCTGAAAGGGTTATTCTAGGGGGAGGTGAAAGGGGAGGAAACTTCATATCTGAGTGGGCCAAGGAGACACTAGCTGGGATGTGAGGAATTGTGGAGGTGGCAGAATTGTCACCCAAATGTTGGAAGGAGGGGTTGGAGGAGCTGGGGAGTTCTTGGGAGTAGCAACTGGGGGCTGGCACAGTCATTCTGGGAGATCAGGACCTGATATACTTGTTAGTCAATCAATGACCATTTATACCGGTAGGGGGAGGGGTCAGGGTAGGATAGTAAAAGCCTCCATTGCTTTAGGAAGAGTTGGAGGAGTTAAATTCTAGTAAAGAGAAGAGGAAAGCTGGGAGGGGAGAGAGAGGAAGGGGGGAGACTGAGTGAAGATTGTTGTGGCTGTCATATTTTTGGGGTGAAGTTCAAAGGGTATTAGAGGAGACAGATTGAAAGACACTGGGGAGGGAGATACTAGGAAGAACTGGAAAGCTTTGGGGTATAGGGGGATAGTTCAGAGAAATGAGACAGATGTGTCCCCTCTAGGTTTTGGAGGCACATTAGAATGTACTGGGAAACAGCAGGAGGGGAGGACATTATTGGACTGAGGTAGTCATTGATTGGTGACCTAAGCCTATGGAGTGAAGCCTTGGATTTGGGGAAAGGACAGGACTGGAAAGGGGAAAAGAAGAGGGTTGATAGGGGAACCTAGAGAAGGAAAATGATGGAGCCTGTGGGGAAAGGGGAAAGAGGGAGCTGCAGGAATGGTTGGAGTCAGGAGGTTGTAAGAGGTGGAAGTCAGGAGCAGCTGGGCACACCAGAAGGGGCAATGGATGCCTGAAACTGGGGAGGACAGATGGAGGGAAAAGGAGGTAAGGCCTCGAGGGTGAAGATGGAAAAGAACACGGGATCAGGAGGGAACAGGAGCTGGATTGAGAGACTGGGGAGAAATAGAGAGGCCAAAAAACACGGCAGCAGAAAGACTGGGAAAGCAGAAGACTGTAGGAAGAGTTAGGAGAGTGAATGAGCTCAAGGACAAGACACAGAAAACTGCCTTAGATGAAGAGAGAGATTTGGGAAAACGGAGACAGGGACTGGAGCAGGAGTTCCTGACCTGGGTCTGTAGATAGATTTCAGTTGGTCTGTGGTAGTGGATGGGGAAAAATCTATATCTATATCTATATATCTTTTTTTTTCACTAACCTCTAACTGAATTTGAGCCTCCTTCATGTAAACAATAAGCCACAGTAGAATTAGGCTTCACCAGACTACCAGAGAGGTCCATGATTCCCCCTTTCCCCAAAATGTTAAGAACCCCTGTTAGAGTTAGGGTCAGAAAAGGAGATCAGAGACAGGGGTGAAGTGATGACTTGGAGATATGGAGGGATAAAGAACAGAACAGATGGAAGAAGAAGTGAATAAGAAACAACACATACTTGAAGGAAAGAGATATTTAGTGTCAGAACTTAGGGTATAAACGAGAAGGAGATAGTGAGAGGCACCCTGGAGTGAGAAAAGAACTGGGCTGGGAGGAAGCCAGCCCTGGGGGTAAAGGAAAAGGGATGGGGAAGAATGAAGAGGGGGTAAGGGGTGAGATTGGAACATTTAAAAAGTAAGCCAGGAAGGGGGTAAAGGAAAGGGGACCTAGTTCTGGGGAGTGGAAAGGGAAAGGAATTGGAAGAAGGTTCAAGTCATGGGAGGAGAAGGGATGTGGGAAAGGGGCCAGGAGAGAAAGGGGAAAGAGAGAGGGAGGGAATGGAGACGGGATCAAGATAGGGGAGCCGGAAGGACAGAAGCAATTAAAACAACTACTCTTGGCCCCATTAGAACTCAGATTTGGGCATAATTGCCCCAAAGGGAGCTAATATTCTCCCAGGGGAAAGAGAGAAGGGGAGGGGGAGAGAGAGACAGAGAGAGAGAGAAACAGAGACAGAGAGACAGAGAGGGAGAATGTGTGTGCACATGTGCACGCAGGCTTGCGTGTTTTCCATTTGATCTCTCACCCAGTTTGCTTATGTGTCTCTCTGTTTGGGTTGCGATCTCCGTGTCTCTCTGTTTTGGTTGTCATCTCTATATGTCTCTCCATCACCATCTGTCTCTCAGTCACTGCTTCCCTGCCTTTTGCTCATGTGTACTGGCTCTCTCTGCCTCTGTTCCTTTCACTAACTCTCTCACTTAGGTTTGTATCTACCTTCTCTCTGTTTTCTCCATTTTTTTCCTTTCTTTTTCTCCCCTTCTCTCTCTTTTCTGCATCTATCTCTTTATTTTTCCCCTTTCCATCTTGTATTTTTCTGTGTCTCTCCTTTTCTCTCTCTATCTCTCTTCTCCAAACTCTCCCTTCTAGTCTCCCTTATCATCTGTGGGTCTCTGATTCCCAAGGAATTTGGCTTTATGGGGCCCTAAAAGGGTTGGCCCTACCAGGCAGGAGGCAAGACAGGATTTGGATGGCCTCCTCCCTGCTTGCATTTCCCTGAGTGAGCCAGTGCCTGAGTAACAGCTCTTAGGCCGGCTGGAGGCCCAAGCTTTGCACCCTCCTGCAGGCTTACAATCTGGAGCCAGCTGGAGGCAGCAGCCCGAGATCTGGTGTGCTGGAGATATAAGGCAGGGAAACCCTGGGTTGGAGGTTCTGAGAAGGAGGCTTGGGGAAAAGATGAGAGAGGGTAGCTCTGGAAGGGAGGCATCATATAAGCAGCTGAGATTCTCTCACATAGCCTGTGTTCAGGGCCCTCCTCTGCAGGTTACAGAGCCTCAATCTTTCCTTAGAAGATTTTGGAAGTTGTGGGGGTTGGGGAGGAATGGAAAACCACGGACGTTTTCCATTTTCATTTAAAATCTCACCTGCCTGCAACATGCTTTCTTTTAGTCTGGGTCTAATTCCTCTAAGACTGAGAAGCTGTATTCATTTTTCTTGGAATCATACTGAAAAGGGACCTTTTAAGACATTGTAGAGCACCATAATGAAGGGACCTTAGAGGTCAGTGCAGAGGGTCAAAACTTTTTTGGGTTATGGATCCCTTTGACAGTCTGGTGAAACCTATGGACTTCTTCTCGGGATAATGTTTGTAAAAGCACAAAATAAACTATGTATGATTATAGAGGAAGCCAATTATGTTGAAATACAGTTAACAAAATGTAAAAAAAACAAGATCCAGTCCAACCCCGCCCCCCCCTTTTTTTTACAGTAAAAAAAACTGAGGCCTGTGGAGAGGAAGAGAGTTGGTCAAGGATATACAAGCAGTCAATAGCAAAATTGGGACTAAAACCTAGAATCTAATTCCAGAGGTAGTGATTTGAAGTTGGACAAAGACTGATGAATAGCAGTGACCAACCTTGAGATTGGCCCCCAAATGTACATATGACTAAGAGGAAACTGGCACGATGGATTCCTTCCATGAGTGAGCCAGAGAGGAGAAAAAGGAGCCCACCCAAGTGGAGAAAGAGAGATCAGCTACCTGTAGAAACAGCCTGTTGGTGGAAAGCAACATGATTTTCAGACCTTGGGAGAAGACAGGCGTGCTGTGAGGGCCAATAGAAAGATCACTGAAAAAAAAAAAAAGAAGGAAAAAGAAAAAGAAAAAGAAAGATCACTGGTCAGAGAGTCAGGAGGCCTGGATTTCAGTCTTGGCTCTGATCTGAGCAAGTCACTTCAGGTCCCTCAACCTCAATTTCCTCATCTTTTAAATGAGGGTAATAGACTCACATCCCTGCCTCCCTCACAGATCAAACTGTGAAGGAATTCATTGGAGAAGCAGCTGAAGGAACACAAGCTAGGCCTCAAGAAGAAATTTCTAAGGCCATCACAGGATGGAGGGAGGGAGGCTGGGAATAAGAAAGCTCTCAGGTTTTTTGGCCCAGAGGTGGAGGGATCCAGTGACTTATAGAAAGGAGGATAGAATTGAGAATTTAAGCAAAAGTCTCCAGAGGGAGTAGCTTCTTCAGGGAGAGTTTTTCACTTCAACAGTTTTTTATGCAGTACCTGGTTTTCTCCTGAATCATTACCACTCATCCTTATGAGGTCAGAAAGAGCCTTTTGTTGGGGCCTTTGGGAGCCCGGGGCTGAGGTCCATCTTCAGGGGGCAGGAAGGGGAGGTTGGCATGTCCTCCAGGCACTAGTGCTAAAGAAGGTAGGTGTGAGGAGGGAGGAGGAAGAGGAAGAAGAAGAAGATTGACAGGGGTGCCTGAAAGAGATGGGAAGAGAGGGTTGAGAAGAGACAGGTACAGGAATTGAGATTGATGCCAGAGGCCTCAGGAAGGTAGCAGCTAGAGAAGGCAGGAAAAAAAACAGAACAGAAACAGAAAGGGAATATGTGTATATTGAGTTCATCTATGTGTATCCGTGTGTGTGTGTGTGTGTGTGTGTGTGTGTGTGTGTCTTCTGTGCTATGTCTCGTTGTGTGGGTACCTGTCCATGGGTAGATATGTTGAGGTGTATTCTGGTGCAAATTTCCCTGTTGTGTGTGTGTGTGACCATGTACCATAGAGAGGTGTCTCTCCCTGGTATACACCTACCCTATGCTCCTGAATCTGGCTGTGCCCCCATACATATGTTCCTGGGGGATTCTGAGTGTGTCTTAATATGTCTAACTGTTCCCATGTCTATGTGTACCCCTATACATATATTCTTTTTTTTGGTAATTTTTTTTATTCATTTTAAACTTAAATTTAAAGGAAAGGAGAAGAAAAAAAAACATTTCCATGTACACAGCAGAATATGAGAAGATTCAATAAACAACAATAAATTTCCATTTCAAGAAAACCTATGTAATAAATGCTGTACATTTTTTTCAAAGCTACCCAGTTTTTCTTTGCTTCCTTGTAGGTTTTCTTTTGTCCTTTGCTGTGCGCTTTTTACTTTATTTTTTTCCCCTTCCTCCTCCTATCCCTGCTTTAAAGAAGTTTACAGTTAAACTAAGATGTATATATACTTATGTATCTGTAAACATATGCATATATAATACACATATATACTCATACACATATATGTAAGACTGTACTATGCATATTTCCACTTGTCATCTGTTTCTCTGAAGGTAGATAGTATCTTTCTTCATAGGTCCAAGTCTTTCCATGTTTCTCTAAATCAGCCAGCTCATCATTTCCTACACTATAGCAATATTCCAACAAAATCACATCCTGTCTGAGAGATTGTCTATGAAAAATTTTCCCCCAGTTTTCTGCATTCCTTCTATTCTTAGTTATACTAGTTTTATTTCTATAAGAAATTTTTAATTTAAAATAATCAAAATTATCCGCTTTACACTTTAATAATGCTCTCACCATATAATAAAGTTTAAGGTCTGATACTGCTGAATCTCCTTCCTTTACATCTTTTTCCCTTGGTTTCTTTGAAATTCCTAACTTCTTCCAAATGAACTTTGTTATTATTTTTTTCTAACTCAGTGAGATAATTTTTTAGTAATTTAATTTGAATGGCATTGAATAAGTAGATTGGTTAGGTGAAATTGTCGTTTTTTTATTATATTGGCTTTACCTACCCGTGAACAATAAATATTCCTCCAATTATTTAAATCTGACTTTATTTGTATAAAAAGTGTTTTATGTTTATGTTCATATAGGTCCTATGTCTGTTTTGGCAGGTATATACATATATTCTTGGGTATAACTGTGTGTCCATGTTATGTATTAGTGAATCTTCATGTGCTCCCTTACACAAGAATCTTTGGATCTCTTTGTGTCTGTGACTATATGTTTTGATGATTGTGTCTGGTAATATCTGTGTGTATGTATGGATATATGTTGCTTTCTCTGTGAATGAGCACTGAGTGTTTCTATCTTTATGTCAGTGGGGTCTGTGTAGAAATGAAAGCTTGAGATCCCCAAATACTTACCATCCCCAGAAGGGACAGAGGTGGGACCACACCAAGAAGGTTGCACAGCAGCCTCCTTGGGACATGGGAGATACAGGAGCATGTCAACTGAAATCTCTGTCATCTAGGGTTCTGTCTAGTCTCTAACTTCTAGGCTTTGTCTTGGGATTTCACTTGAAAACTCTATTTGGGCTGCATCTGAGGTTAAGCGATGTCTGAGGGCTTTTTTTGTTTGTTTGTTTCCTGAGGCTCTAAGGTTTTTACTTAGACACTAAGGCCTTCTCTAAACTCTGAGACTTTATCTGGGTTCTATTTTGGTTCTGTCTGGGCTCTGTCTAGGTTCTATTCTGTCTGAGTGCTGTCTAGAATCTGTCCAGGTTCTGTTTGAGTTCTGTATGTTTCTGTCTAGGCTGTTTGGGCTCTGCTAAGGTTGTCTAGACCCTGTCTAAATTCCGTCTGAGACTTTACCTGGGTTCTGTGTGGGTAATGTCTAGGCTTTGTTTAAGCACTGTCAGAGACTTTCTGGGTTCTGTCTTGGATTTGTCTTTGCACCCATCTGGGCCTCCACCTCGTCCGCTGGGATCTCTGTCTAGGCTCTCTCTACATTCCCAGGTTCAAATCTGAGGCTCTCTCTGGACAAAATTTGTATGCTTGGTTCTGCCTAGGTTTCATCTTGGGCCCCATCATAGTTTGGGCTCTTTTGGAATCACTTTCTAGGGTGTCATTTTGAGGTTTTGTCTGGGATATGTCTTAGGATCTGGACTCCTAGCCGGATTCCTGTAGGACCACTAGCTTGGGTTGCTCTGGGGCTCTCTATGGACGCCAGACACTAAGATAGACATGCTTAGGGTGGCAGACCCTGGATTTGACCTGAAGGACCTTCTTTGCCAGGACCAAAGGAGGGTTGGGAGTCCATCCCTCTTTCTGCTCTTCTGTTCTATCTAGACCTAGGTACACTGAGACTTAGGGGGATAGAAGCAGGCTGTAGAACAGGTGGGAGGGATGTGTGTGTCTGTCAATGTGTGTGTGTGTGTGTGTGTGTGTATGGGCCTTTGTGTGTTGGTGCATGTCTGTGTGTATCAGTGTGTGGGTGGATGACAGCAGTTCGTGTATCAGTGTGCGGGTGTGTCTGTCAGGGTGAATGTGTGAGTGTGTGCCTCTTTATGCCTGTGGGTATTGGGGGTGGGGGGCTGAACAGTGCCACAAGAAAATCCAAGCAATAGAAAGTAAGTGGGTGTCAAGTTAGAGGAATGAAAGGCAGAGAACTGCGTGGAGTGGAGTTGGGGGGGGGGTGAGGAGAAGAAGAGCATTGCTGAGGCCTGCGCAGGACGTCAGGGCTGAAAAATCGTGTGAGGTCTCTGCCTTCTCCTGTTCTCTCCTGTCCCAGCTCCCCGGCTATGGCCCTGACTGTGTCTGGCTCCCCACAGGCGGGCAGCCAGGCTGTGACCTTGCAAAGGGGACACAGTCAGCTGAGGGAGGAGCAGGAGGGACGTGGGGAGTGGGGGACCTTAAGGGGAGAGGCTGAGGCTGAGCCAAGCCACAGTGGGTGAAAAGATGAAAAGAACCAGGGCGGGGTACGGACAAGTCACCTCCCCCTACCCATACCCAGTTCTTGAATTTCATGGCAGGGAAACAAAGAAACAGGATTCTCTCTCTTTTTCTTGGCCCCAGAGCTGGAAGGGCTTGGATGAGGGGGACTTGGGGGGAGGGTAGTGGCTTTGACCTTGACGGGACAGAGATGCACACGACCTACCTTTGCTTTCCAGGCGAAAGACAGTGATGATGAAGAGGAGGTGGTACATGTGGACCGGGATCATTTCATGGATGAGTTCTTTGAACAGGTAAAAATTTCATAGGAGACTCCAGTCCCTGTCCTGTCAGGCATCCCAGCTCCCACTTCCTTCCCCAACCCCAAATCCCAAATCTCCAGGCTTCCTCTCCCTCTGGGCCTCATATACCCACCAAACTTCCTTGAGTATTTTTTTTCCTTGCTAGAACTATGATTTCATGGATGTCAGGAGCTCTCTATAAAGAATTCCCCAGACCAATGCAGACTGACTATTTCTTGGCAAATTATAGTTTTAGAGCATTGCCCGGAGAGTCACAGAGCCAGCATATGGGGGCCTTGAACCTAGGTCTTTCTGACTCTGAGGTCAGCTCTCCCCGCTTGGGTTTTTGTCACCATTAACCCCATACTACCAATGAATCAGAGACATTCTCACCTCCCCTTCAAGGCCCAGGACCCTTCCTCTATTGCCAGCACCTCTGGGCCCTTCCACGTGTTATCCTGAGTCTCTCCACCCTTGCCATGCATCTGTCCAAACTCTACAGGTAGAAGAGATCCGAGGCTGTATTGAGAAGCTGTCTGAGGATGTGGAGCAGGTGAAGAAACAGCACAGTGCCATCTTAGCTGCCCCCAACCCCGATGAAAGTGAGTGGGGGGAGCGCCAAGGAACTTGGACCCAGGCTGGGAAGGGGTCCTTAAGCCAGGACAGGGGGAGGGATGAAGGTCATCTGGACCTCCATTGGCTCATTGTCATCATCAGTTACCCAGTTCTATGTATTCTGCCTCCACAGTATCTCTGGCATCTACCCCTTCCTCTCTATTATCACTGCTAACACATTTTTGTACAGGCCCTAACCTGTACCTGTAGCCTACCTGGAATATTCCAATAGGTTTCTCAGTGGGTCTTCCCACCTCTCCCTCCTCACCACCCTCATCTATCTGTGCTTCCAGAATACTCGTTCTTACACATAGATCTAGTCGTGCCTCTCTTCTAATAAAAAAAAATTAACTAATTCTCTATTTCCTCAAAGTTCGAACTCTTCTGACCTCCATAACTAATGCTAACATGCTTTCCCAGCTTTATTTCTTATTATGCCTCCTCACATCCTTCAAGTGGACCGTACTCTGTCTCCTAAACATGCCCTAAGCTTTTCTGCCTCAGTACTTTTCTTCAGGGTTCCCTCTGCCTATATGTTCTCTCCTTTCCTTTTCACTGTTGAATTTCTCCCCACCCTGTAGGCCCAGTTCAGAAAGCCTTGTCCCTCCCCAACCCCATTGTTGGTAGTGACTTTCCCCTTGGACCTCACATAGCACTTTATTTTACATATCCATAAAATATTTACAAGTAATATCATGTACAATATATAGCTAACTGTATTTGTCTCTCATCCTCTTGCTAGATTGAAAGGTCCGCAAAGGCAGGTGCCATGTCTAACCCTCTGCCCCCAGCTACTCCAGGACAAGACATATTTCACCTACGTCCCTTTTTTTCTCCACTTCTTGCGTCAACTCTCTCCAGGGTTTCCTCATCCCCCTAATAAAAAGTTGATGATAGTGAGAGGTCCCATTTCACAAGCACTTTTTTTACAAGATGCTTTCCTCGTCTCAACACTCAGCTTGAAAATGTCAGTTGGGGATATGTGCAAAATGGAGCAAGACTTACAAGTCTTATCTCCATTTTACAGAGGGGGAAACTGAGGCCCAGAGAAAGGAGGGTCACCTGGCTAGTAAATTATCTAAGCTGGGACTTGAACTTTTTCTTGAACATGGAACCAGAGATCAAGCCCATCAGTGAAATGAGGTTCACACAAGTAAAGTAACTTATTCAAAGCAGCAAATGGCAAAGCTGAGATTCAAACTTGCAGCCTCTGAGTCTAATTTCAGTCCTTTTTTCATTTCAGTACACCAGCCCCTCAGGTATTCCGACAGGTCCAATGTTCTCTCTACTACATCATGGTCACTCTCTGATGATATAATTTTCCTGTTCTATCCCCTCCATCTACACAGTCTTGGGGTTGTCAGAACAAGGCCTTCATGACTGACTCCTGTCTCATCATCATCCTCACCCACCCTGTGATTGGCTTCCTACCACTTCACCCCCCAAAAAAGCTCTACAGGTTTTCACTCACTTGTGAAGGACAAGAGTACAAATCTAGTGTTTCCACATTCCCCGTGATTAGCTGAAGGAAGTGGGAATGTTTAGCCTGCAAAAGAGAAGCTGCCTTCAAGTAGTTTGGATGCTGTCACATGGAACCGTAATTAAACTTGTTCTTCTGGGCCTCAGAGGGCAGAACAAGGAGCAATACTAAAAACTCAAACTGATAAAGATTTACAAAGTACTTTCCTCACAATGACCTGGGAGGTAGGTAGTATTATTCCCATTTTACAGAGGAGGAAACCGAGATTCAGGGAGATTAAATTATTTCTCCCAGGATCACACAGCTATTAAGTGGCAGAGCCATGACTCAAACCCATATCTCTTGACCCTAAGTAGAAAACCACAGTGCCTCTTTCAAAGATGCAGATTTCTGCTCCATGTTAGGAAGTTTTCCCCTGTAAATTAGAGATAACCAAGAGTATAATGGGCTATCCTGGAAAGTAGTAAGTTCCTCATCATTAGTTCTCCATAAGTGGAAGCTAGATGATCATTTGTCAGGGGCTTTACACACATACACACACACACACACACACACACACTCACAGAGAGACAGAGAGACAGAGAGAAAGGGAGAGAGAGAGAGAGATCTTAGTCAATTATGGTTTGACCAGATGAACTCTGAGACCCTTTTGGATTCAAACTTGACCTTTTCCCTCTTTTCCCTCTCAGAGACCAAACAGGAACTGGAAGACCTGACTGCAGACATTAAGAAGACGGCCAACAAGGTTCGATCCAAGTTGAAAGGTGAGGAACATAACCCTAAGACCTTGGGGTCTCACTGATTTAGTCTTTGGGGGAAAATACTATCCCTCCACCAAGAGAAAAAAAAAAATACCATCTCCTACATAGATTTACAGGTAAATCCCATATTTTATCCAGACTCCCAAACAGTAGAAACTCATACCCTGTCACTGACCACTGAGAAACAAACAGGTGATGGGGAAGTAAGCTCTCCCCTTCCCACTAAAAAAGAATAGAGATTCTGTCTGCAATGGCTACCAGTAGCCGGTGTTTTCATGTGTTTTCATGATAGGTGTGTCTCCTATCTGACTGGCACCAATTCAAAAAAACTCACCCATTTCTCCAGAATCCTCAGGGAATGAACTTTGAGCCCTGGACAGTATGAGCTCAACCTTACCCCACTCAGCAAATGCTTGTGAAGTCTTTGCCTGAGTACTGTTTCGCACCTCTCTGTGATATAGTGGAAACAACTTGGGGCTGGAAGTCATGAGACCTGCATTCTGAATTCTAATCCTGGTCTCTGTTACCATGTGACCTTGGAGAAGGCATTTCCTTTCTCTGGGCCTCAGTGTTCCCATCTATAAAATGAAGAAGTTGGTCCTGGATGCTCTTTAAGCTTTTTTCCAACATTCTATAGTTCCTTATTCTGAGATTCCATCCAGTTCTGACACTTGTGTTCTATGTTCCAAGTTCCCTTCCAGTTAGGACATTCTGTGTTCTAAAGTGGCTTCTAGCTCTGATTCTAGAGATTATCTATTGTTGGGGTTCCCAGCCTATGACCACTGACCATAATGGAGGGCCATGGAGTAATTATTGCAATTACTTTGCAACATATTCGCAAAATTATTGCAGAGTCCACACATTCTTGTATACTCGTGTTTAGTCATTGATGAAGTCCATTTTTTCAGCTTCTGGATACTAGCAGTACAATAAAATATATTAGGCAGCGAGGTGGTGCAATGGATGGAGCCCTGGACCTGGAGTCGGGAAGACCTGAGTTCAAATTTGACCTCTGACACTTGCTAATTGTGTGATCCCAAGCAATTCACTTAACCTCTGTCCGCCTCAATTTCCTCATTTATAAAATGGAGGCAATAATAGCACCTATTTCCCAGGGTTATAATGAGGATAAATTGAGACAATATTTGTTAAGTGCTTTGCAAAGCTTTAAATGCTATGTAAATGCTAGTTACTATTATTATTACATGAGTTCATAAATGTGAAATGCTTTGCAAACCTTAAAGCACTATATGAATTCTAGATATTATTATTATTATTGGAAAATCATGTGAAATGTTTTGATGTTAAAAAGAGCTCTTTATACTTGAAAAGGAAACTGTTATAGGCACTGGAGACGGAGGATCTGGGTTCAAATCCCACTTCTGACACTTAGTACCTGTGCCATCTTGGACATGTTACTTCACTTCATCTGTAAAATGAGGGGATGGGCTTGGCAGTCTCTGAGTTCAGCATCGGTGACCCTATTGAAATAGTCCAATCATAAGATCCTAGATATGAACTGGGAAGGATGTGCGAAGTCATCCGTCCCATCTCCTCTTTTTACGGCTGAGGAAACTGAGGCTCAGAGAAGGGAGATAACTTTCCCAAGGCCACCGCAATAAGAGAGGCCAGAAGTGACCTCTTGCTCAAGGTCTTGGGGTAAGGATATAGCAAACTCAGGATCTGAATCCAGGTCCCCTGACCCCAAACTCAGTGCTCTTTCCACACTGCCACCAAAGTTGCACCCGCTCATTTTATTTATGAAGTTTTATTGATGCTTTTTGTTTTTTCAACACCAAAGTCATTCCCTGTTTAATCCCACCCCCTCCCCACCCCCTCCTCTCAACCACCAGAGAACTCTCCTGAACAAAGAAAAGCATTTAGGCAAAACTGACTAACACAGGGACCTCATCTGAGACCATGGGCAACATTCCAAACCCGGTATGTAAATCTGACACTCAGTTTGTCAAATCACTCCATTTTACAGAACAGGAAACTGAGGTCCAGACTGACTTGCCCAGGGTCACCAGTAAGTCACAGCTAGAGGATGAGTGCATGTTCTGACTCTTAAGTCAAGTTTCCTTCCCCTACAACATGGAACCTCCTGAGCAATGTGACTGCCTCCGGTCATCTTAAATCTGCCATTGACTGGCAGGCCACTAGTTATTAATCTCTGTCGTATGGTCCAAGCTCCATGCATAGATGGGAGAGCCAGTGTTGTTAGACACAGCCCTTAGGCCTTAAAATGGCCCAAAAGGTTCCTACATTTCCAATCTTCTACACTTTACGCCCCCCTCCAATGCAGTCTATGATCCAGTTACACTGGCCTGCGTGAAACTTTCTCCTACATAAAACTCCATCTGTTGGCTCTGTGCATTTTACACTGGCTGTGTACCCTATTCTTGAAAAGCTCTCAGTCATCACCTCTACCCTTAGCTTCCTTCAAATTCCATCTTCTTCAAGAGGCCTTTCCTGGTCTCTTCCCTCCCTCCACTTAGTACTTTCCCCTCTGATATTTCCATTTATCAATTTTACATCTGTGCATTTATCTCTATACGTACATAGTTACTTACATGACTTCTCCCCCTCCCCCATTAGAATGTAAGCTCCTTGGGGGCAGGGTTTTTGTGGGGTTTGGGTTGTTAGTTTGTTTGTTTTTTTGCCTTTCTTTGTGTCATCAGTATTTGGCACATTGCCCATTGTATAGTAAATGCTTATTAACGTATACATCATTAAGGGAAGATTGAATTTCATTTGACAGTTTTAGGCTCAAAATGTATTTTATCACATCCCCAATTCTTAGAAGACTGGGAATCAGTGCATGGCTATTCTCAGTTATAGAAGATGACTGTTACCCAAGATGTGCTTCCTCATGCATTCCAGATAAATTGAAGCTTGTTACAGGAAGCTATGATTAGGTTGGGAAGGAGGGTCATAGGAACTCTTGTGGGTCACCCCTCCCTGCCTGCTGGCCTCCCCTTTGCCCTGCCCCACACTCTTCACTCTGCTTACCTGCTCTCCCGGCAGCGATCGAACAAAGTATTGAGCAGGAGGAAGGACTCAACCGCTCTTCGGCTGACCTTCGTATCCGAAAGACCCAGGTAGGAGGGAACGACCCCTCCCCAGGAATGGTCCCTACCCATCCTTTGCCCCAAGCAGTAGCACAGTCTCATGGAGTCATCCCTGGCCTGCCCAGATGGGTCTTCACCTCTTGATCATCTGACTTGTCAGAAGCCTGCCCAGCCCTGAGCTTTGGAGGGGCACAGTCAAAAACCATGGCCCTATTCTTGTGAATGGTGCCCATTTCCAAACTAGGGGGTGCAAGGTAGAGGTGGAGAGGGGGAAATGGGACTTAATCAACTCCCCAGACCTGACCTTCTCTCTCTCTGCTCTCTATTTTTTATTCTCTTTGCCTACCTTTTCTCCACCCATCAACCACTTCCCCAATGTCACTTAATCTTTGTCTCTTAATCTCTGGCCTGTCCTATCTGCATCTCTTTCCATCCTTCTCTCCCCTATCTTACCTCTGCTTCTCCGTTCATCCTCATTATCTCTTTCTACCTTCATCCCGGTATCTCTCTCCCACTTCCTCCGCCATCTTTCTCCTTTATCTTCTCTGTCCACCTTTTCCTGCCTTTCTCTTCTCATCTCTCTTTCTCCTCTTCTCCTGCCCTTCTCTTTCTTATCCCTTTCTTTTCCTCTTCTCTTCTCTCTTTCCTCTATCTTCCCCTCCTCCTCCTCCTTCTCTCTGCCTCTTTCTCTCTTTCTTTCTCTCTCCCTTTTCCTCCTCTGTCTCTGTCTCACTCTCTCTGTCTCTCTGTCTCTATCTCTGTGTCTCTGTCTTCCTCTCTCTGTCTGTCTCTGTCTGTCTGTCTGTCTGTCTGTCTCTCTCTTTCCCTTTACTTGCCTCCTCTCATGCCTTTCTCTCTTGGCCTTACCTGGGGGTCTATTCCTCCCCCCACCCCCTAAAGCACTCCACACTGTCCCGGAAGTTCGTGGAGGTGATGACTGAATATAACGCAACGCAGTCCAAGTACCGAGACCGATGCAAGGACCGGATCCAACGACAACTCGAGATCAGTGCGTACTTGGCCCTCCCCTCCCTGCCCACCTAACCTTCCCCAAATTATGACTTGCTCCTGGTCTGTGCTTGAGGCTCGTAGACCCTGGGGCCAATCTGGGACCTACAGTTCCCGGAGGCGAATGGGGTGGGGAGAGAGGTCTAGACTGAGGCTGAGCCCATCTCTTTTAGTCCTCCACTAAAGACAGGCTTGGGGGTTCCACTAGGCAAAGACCCTTCCCTGGGTATCCATCCAGTCTTCCCTTCAACTGGCCCCCTCCCTGGGCCATTCCCAACCCTACAACATCCCTTTCTCTCTGCAGCTGGAAGGACCACAACTAACGAGGAACTGGAGGACATGCTAGAGAGTGGAAAGCTGGCCATCTTTACGGATGATGTGAGGGAGGGACCGGGTGGCGGGTGGGGGCAGCCTCGGCATTCTGCGATTATCCTGCAACCTAGCACAGAACTATTTTGGCTCATTTATCCGTGTCCAGAAACAGTTCCTAGGGACTCTCCCTCCTCTTGGGTTCTGTATTATTATTTTTTTCTCATTCAAACCCTGTATTTCTGTCCTGACATCTTTCTGCCCCCTTCCCTCTCCATATCTTCCTCTTTCTGTCTTTCCCATCTCTCTCTCTTACACAGTAATCAATCAATCAGTCAACAAGCATTTATTAAGTACTGACTGCATGCCACATATGGGTCCCTTAATTGTTGGGATGGGTCCTTGATAGTGTCTATGGGATAAAAGAGTTCATTTGCAATGAAGGGGATGCATCTGATATGTCTGCTGCTGAGGCCCATTCTTCATTGCCATCCCCACCCCCACCCCCCAGATCAAGATGGACTCACAGATGACCAAGCAGGCTCTGAATGAGATCGAGACAAGGCACAACGAGATCATCAAGCTGGAGACCAGCATCCGGGAGCTGCATGACATGTTTGTAGACATGGCCATGCTTGTGGAAAGCCAGGTAGAGTTGTGTGACTCCAGTCTGTTGGCCCTCTCCAGACCTTTCCCCTGCTACCTTTGGCACTGGACCACTTGGAGCCACACGGGGCCCTTATTTCTGCAGGGGGAGATGATTGACCGAATTGAGTATAACGTGGAGCACTCTGTGGACTACGTGGAGCGGGCTGTGTCCGACACCAAGAAAGCCGTGAAATATCAGAGCAAGGCCCGGAGGGGGAGAGGGTCGGGCTGGAGCCGGGCCAGGACTGGGTGGGAGGGAAGGAAGGGAAGGAAGCTGGGGATTGAGAGGCAGAAGGCTGGGGTTGAGGGCAAGAAGTATGAGGTAAGTGGTGAAAAAGGGTGGAAGGACCTAATCTCCTGCTCTGACCTCTTCCTTGTTTCTGTTTGTCTTTCTCTCCTGCCCTCTTCCTATGTCTACATCCCCTTTCTCTCTTCACCTTCCACCTCATCCTCTTTGACCCTGCCTGTCACCTGCTGCCATCTTTGTTTCTCCTGTTTCACCTTCTTCTTCTTTCTCTCCTTCCCTTTCTCCTCTCTTTCTTCTTCTAACATCTTTTTTCCTCTACCTCCTCCTTTCTTCTGTCTCCCCCACCCATCTCTTTGCATTCCTTCCTTCTCTCTCTCTCTCCTTTTTTTCTCCTCTCTATTCCTGTCTCCATCCTCTTCCTGTCCCACTTCTCCTTTCATCTTCTCTTTTTTTCTCCTCTTTCTAACCTCTTCCCTTCTTTTCTCTTCTGCCTTTCTTTTCTCTCACCTTCTTCCTTTTTTACCTCTTTCATCTTTTTACTTCTTCCTGTTCTTCTTTTACCTTCTCCTTTCTTTTACTGCCTTCATTATTTCCTTTTCCACCTCATCTCAAACTGTCTTTCCCCTTCTTCCTGTTCATTTTCTCCTTTTTTCTTTCTCCTCTAATCCCTTTCTTTCCTCTCCCCTTCTCTTCTCTTTCCTTTCTCTTCCCTCCTCTCTTCTTCCCTCCTCTTTTCCCACTTTTCTTCTTCTCCCTTTTCCCTCCTCTCCTTACTTGCTTCTTCTCTTACCTCTCTTCTCTTTCCCCCGTCTTCCTCTTTCCTTTTTTCTTTCTTCCTCTCCTCCCCCCTTTACCTCCTCTTTCCTCCAATTTACCTATTCTTTCTTCCTTTTCTCATCTCTCCCTCTCCTCCCCTTTCCTTTCTTTCTTCCTTTCCTCCTCCCTTCCTGTCCCTTCTTTCTCCCCTCCTTTTCCTTACTCTTTTTCTCTTCTCCACTCTCCTTTCTCTTCTTCCTTTCCTCCTCTCTTTCCTCCCTCTCTCTGTTTCCCTCTACTTTCTCCCACCTGCAGAAGAAAATCATGATCATCATCTGCTGTGTGGTGCTGGGGGTGGTGCTTGCATCGTCCATCGGGGGGACGCTGGGCTTGTAGACCTGTCCCCTCACTTTCCCCTCATCTTCCCAAGACCCTCTCACCGGAATGGGAGCAATACCCCTCCCCTCATCCATCCATCCATCTCCAGGCTTCCCCCAGCCCGCCCCCCTTCTTCTACTCCAGTCTCAGCCCCTAAGATTGGATCCAGGCAGTCCCCTTCCCCCTTCCGCCCATAATGTGGACCTGAGCAATCCCCTCCCTGCCCTACCACGACCCTGAAGTGGGACTCCCATGTCCCATGCCCCCTCTCCGCATGTAGATTACAGCAGGCATGAGCCCTCGCCACCTGCCTCTCCCCACACAGGCCTAGCACCATGGGGGCCCACGTGCTGGCGATGTGTAGGGTGGGCACATGTGTGCTGGGGTGTGCGTGCACGCTGGATCCCCCCCACTCCTCTCCCCCATCGCCCCATCCCACGTGTCTGCCTGTGGCCTGAACTGTCATATACATCGTGACCGAGTGTATCCCTTCATCAGTCCCCACTGTGTGCGTCCAATCCAGATTGTAGGGGCTCTGATAGTGGGAGAAGGTCGGGCATATATGTGGATCTATAAGCACACTCACTGGCACTGACCAAGTTTGTCTGAGGGACAGCTTCCGCATCCACACACACATGCACGCACACACGCTGGTCTGTATGCTCATCAATTGTAGATGACTTTCTG